GCTGGCTCATATTCAGTTTTTCATCCACCACTAGCCCTAACTCCTCTGCAGGGCTGCTCTCTATCACTCGTTGCCCAGCCTGTATCTGCACTTGGCGTCGCCCCTTGCACTTGCCCTTGTTGTGCTTCATGAGGCTGGCATGGGGCCACCTCTCTGGACTGTCAACATCCCTCTGGATGGCATTCCTTCCCTCCAGGGTGTCAGCCACACCACTCAGCTGGCGTTATTGGCAAACTTGCTGAGGGTGCACTCAATCCCACTGTCCATGTCATGGACAAAGATAGCACCAGTCCCAATACCAACCCCTGAGGAATGTGACTCGTCACTGGTCTCCACTCAGACATCGAGCCATTGAGCATAGAATCATAGAATCATTAGGTTGGAATAGACCCCTGAGATCAGTGCAACCATCCAGCCAACTCCTTATCCACTGAGTGGTCCATCCATCAAATCCATGTCTCTCCAGTTCAGAGACAAGGATGTTGTGTGGGACAGTGTCGAATGCTTTGCACAAGTCCAGGTAGATGCATCAGTTGCTCTTCCCCTACCCCCAAGGCTGTAACCCTATCGTAGAAGGCCACCAAATTTGTCAGGCACAATTTGCTCTTAGTGAAGCCACATTGGCTGTCACAAATCATGTCCTTATTTTCCATCTGCCTTAGCACAGTTTCCACGAGGATTTGCTCCATGATCTTGTCGGGCACTGAGGTGAGACTGACTGGCCTGTAGTTCCCTGGGTCTTCTTTCTTTCACTTTTTAAAAATGGGGGTTATGTCTTCCCTTTACCAGTCATCAGCAACTTCACCAGACTGCCACAACTTCTCCAATATCATGGATAGTGGTGTAGCCCCTTCGGCTGCCAGTTTCCTCAGGACCCACGGATCCATCACATCAGGTCCCATGGACTTGTACACCTTCGGATTCCTTAGATGGTCTTGAACCTGATCCTTTCCTACAGTGGGCAGTTAATTACAGTGACAGAAACAGTTTGTCAGAAGGGAATATATTCTGTCTTTGAACATATGTTATTTAGGTTGTTTCTTTTTTTAATAGACAGATCAATGAGCAGGAGACAGGAGGATATGTATACACGCCGTCAAACAACTAGGATGAGATTGTCCAAGTATGCAGCATATAACACCTACCATCACTGTGAACAGTGTCATCAGTATATGGGTTTCAATCCCAGGTACCAGGTAAAGTCTTCCAGATATTACTCTGCAGATCAGAAGCTGAAGCAGACACAACCCAAATAGTTTTGTGTACATTCACTGTATTTTAATTGACTTAGAAGTTGCATGTATGTTAAAAACAGCTGATTTACAGAGTTTGTTATTTCTTGAGGTTTGCCTGCCTTGACCAGACTGCAGGTTTGGGGACATCAGAGGACTGATTCTTGCCTCAATTACGGTAGCTTATTCAGTGCTGTAATCTGCATTCTACATGTATAGTACCAGTTAAAACAACTTTCCTGGTAAACTTTTCCCACTGGGACTTGCTTACATTGTCACCTGAGCAATGGCAAAAAGATGCTGATGTAGGAGTAGTCCAGCATCGAGCTGTCTAGAAGAGGCATGCAGACTGTTATGACTTAGAGTAACCCTCCAACTTCCTGCCTATTATAATGTGAGGAAGAAGGTATTAGCAATGCAAATATTGGTTTTTATTTGTCAGTATTTCTGAAAGCCGAGAGTAGCCTGTAAATGTTGGTACCACCTGCAAGACGAAGCTGAAACAATGGTTTCAAAAGAGGGAAGAGTTTACTCTATATTTTTTTAGTGTATGCTCAAGCCTAGGGAGCATTGCTTAACACCTAATGAATCATGAGGTAAAATCTAATGCAATATAGAAAGTGATTGTAATCCATTTGGTAATGTTATAAATGTGTATTAACTACACTGAGACTTCGTAGTTTGACTCTAACCACTGGAATTATCCTGTTTTTTTCCCCATCCTCAGCTTTATGAGTCCACTCTGCATGCATTTGCCTTTTCCTATTCTATGCTAGGAGAAGAAATCCAGCTGCATTTTATCATTCCAAAATCAAAGGAGCATCATTTTGTCTTTAGTCAACCAGGAAGACAATTGGAAAGCATGAGGCTACCACTAGTCACAGATAAGGTAGATGGATAATTATATTTATGGCCATATATGGCAGAGAGACGCTACCAGTTTTACAATTTGTTCAATCAGGATTCTTTACACTTCTGGTCCTGCTGTCAAGAGATAATGAAGATGTCCTGATACTAAGCTTGTGTTTTCTCCCAGAAAGGGAGACATGAAGAAAAACTGTCAAGCCTTTGGTATAAACACCCTTATCTGGGGCAAAAGGTTCTCTGGTTACTGGTTTAAGATGTTAAAGTGAGAACGGTTTCAGCCATGAGCCTCAGAGACATGGTTTTGTTTATTATACAGTTACTATGAGGAAGCAATTTTTTACTGTAGAGGAAGGCAGTGGATTATCCTGTCTTATTCTGCATAAATGCTCCATTGCTTTCATCTGAAAAAAAAGCTTTCAAAGAATCTTTATCATGGCTTCAAGACTGTCCAAAGAATCACATCACGCTTGTAGAAAACACTTTGTAAGGTCATCCAACAGGCTACGCAAACTCTGCCTCAGAGCCTCAAAGACGCGGCCTTCACAGTGGCTCCTAATATCCATGTCTAAGATGACACTGTGTCTTGCTCAGGCCACACTGCTCGGAGTAGTGAAGCAATTTGTGGACAGTAGTAAGCAGTAGCACTTCTATCCTGGAGAAAATAAGCTGCTGCCAGTAAACAATAATAAATAATACCACCCTTCAGTTTGGACTTTTATGTCCAGTTCAAGTTTGAAATGGGAAACAGCAACATAGCAGCAATGGTGCAATGTGAGGATGAAACCTCCTGCTCTTCCTCACCCAGTAAACTTGTGCTTGGCTGCACAGTCAGAACTGTGCACTGTGTCCCTATGGATTCTTTTCACACTTCTGACCCTCACCTGCTCTGAGGCTTTGCCAAAACCATTTATTCTTCCTTTGCTTGTTTTTCTGTTCGCTTGCTCCAAAATGGTGCCTGCAACCTTGCTGCAAGCTTGAAAAGTGCTGTGGAACAGAAAGCTAGATTATTAAAGCATTATAAAATATTTTTCTTGATCCACTCTAAATTCCCTTTTGTGAACCCCACTGGCACCAAATCCAGCATTTTGTGCTTTTGCAGTTTTAAATCCAGAGTGCTTAATTGTGAGGGTTTTGGAGAGTCTCTGCAAAGAGGCACACTTTCATTTTGGGTCCTTAATGACCTTAGTAGGAACCAGGCTAAAATCTACTGCCCAGACTGGAGCAGTCCTGGACGTCTGAAGAAACAGGGCTTTCAGAAGCTGTACTATCAAACTTGGAAGCACCTAGTGAGTTTCAGTGCATTCAAGATCAGGTGACAGCCAGTCAGAAAGGCTATACTGCAGTTTTGGAGTAAAATATTTCTTATCATATTGAGTTATATAGTCCTAAATACTTTTCCAGATCTAGCAGTCCCATCCAGTCCACCACACTCTCACCAGTCAAATAATCTAAGTGATAGAGTTTTCTTTTTCCTAACTCTTTTAAAATTTGCTTATTTTCCTATTAAGTGGATTTAAAATGTTGCAGTTTGTCCAGTGTCAGTGAATTTGATTTACTCTCCTGAAACATCTGGTACTCTTTGTTTAAACATCCTCCAGCTTAGTACAGCAACTCACACTTCTTTTTATTTACAGAGTGAAGATTACATAAAAAGCCCCACTTTTACTCCCACCACTGGTCGTCATGAACATGGACTTTTCAATTTATATCATGCAATGGATGGAGCCAGTCACTTGCATGTTTTAGTTGTCAAGGAATACGAAATGGCCATATATAAGAAGTATTGGCCCAACCACATCATGCTTGTTCTTCCAAGCATTTTCAACGGTGCAGGAGTCGGTAAGCGTAACAAAAAGTTCTAACAAATGGGGACACACGACTTGGGCCCTTGAGGTGTTACTCAGCAGTGACATGTAGGCACGCACGCACGTTGTAGCTAGCATATCTGATCTGGTGATCTGCATTCTCTTTGAAGACAATGTGTCAGTCAGAAGACAATGTGTCAGTCAGAGATGCAATTCACTTAATCCAGGTCACTTAAAACAAGCTAGATGAATTGCACCCTGGAAATACTTACTCCTCTCTATTGCTTTTAAAGGGAGCTGAGGGTGTTAACTCAGTTACCTACTCTGTTTCCCTGTGAAAATAGCTTATGTACTGTTTGCATAGGCAGTGATACACTGATTAGGTACATCTCCTAGGTAGGTTCTGTTAATACATTATCTGTGAAATATTTAGCACCTTGCCTTTACTGCTGGAACAACTTACAGACAGCAGTAGTGGCAAACATTCAAAGTAGATCGTCAGGGGAAATTGTTCCCGTGTCATTCAGCTAGTCAATCAACATCTCTAGATGTTTGCACTAAGAGATACTAGTGGATCCAAATATCTGTCAGGTTAAAAGAATCAGTTGCTAAACCCTTAAGACACCAGCAAATCTTTACCACAGAAGTCAGGCTTCATTTTCTGTGCTTCCCCGTGGGGTCCTATAAGTTACAAAGTAAGTTGGCTCTGGGGAGGGTTAGGGTGTTAAAATCTTCAGAGAGATTCATACCTGGTTGGTCTGCAGAAATACTCAGTTCAAAAGGCTTCCAAGTTAAAAGCAAACAATTTCTGCCCCTACTTTTAATCTGATGGTTTATATCCTTGGTTTCAGGTGCTGCACACTTCTTGATAAAAGAGTTGTCCTATCATAACTTGGAGCTTGAACGAAATCGACAGGAGGAGCTGGGGATAAAACCCCAGGATATCTGGCCTTTCATTGTCATTTCAGATGACTCTTGTGTTATGTGGAATTCAGTAGAAGTTGATTGTTCAGGAGACAGGGAAAGGTAAATAGAGTAATATATGCTTTTTCAGCTCACCTCTTTTAACCTTTCACTTCACATCAGTTTTGAAATTACATTTGATATACTCCAACTTTTACCCTGTACAAGTAGAGAATAATATTTGCTTAATGAAAGAAATCTTTTCCCTAGGTATCTGCCTTCACATAGCACATAGTTTAGTGCCCATTTTTCATTCCTGTCTCCTGAGGATTTAAGTGCCCTGCAGCCTTTGCTGTATAGCTTGATTCTGGTTGAAACTAGAGCTACTGGGACTGCAGATTTCACACAATCCCTGATACACTGGACAAGCATGAACATTCACATGTACATTTTTAACAGGATTTTTCTAAGGAAGCTAAAAGACATTTCTATGCAAATTGTGCAGTTGATTTCCTCTGGCTCTTTTGTCAGTCCCAGTCTGTGTGGGTCCTTTATTAGCTCCCCAAATCCCCCAACAACTATTTTTGTTTTAATTATTTTAGAACATTGTTTGTGCTAGATATTTTTATCTATTCCCAGAATGGTGCTATGTAGGATTTACAGCAGACCTTCAAAGAGAACTAAACTCAGTGAAAACTGAGATTTATGGACTCTAGGGGTGGGCTAAGAGGATATTACACTTTGCACTTAAATTATGGCACAAAGTCAGCAACCCTTCCAGAGTCATTTGGAACGTTATCCAGGTAACTTTAAAAGTTTACATATCTGAGTGAATATTTTGAAAGATCCAGACTAAGTTTCAGATCTGTTACACCAGTCCCCACCACATAAGCCCTAGATAATTTTAATTTTTGATTGGAGTGAGAGACAAAAAGTTGCAGTAAAGTGAGACAACACTGAAGTTATCTGCCTGATACTCATAACTACTTTTGCCTGTTAAGAATTGCTCTTCAGTTGAAGGAGATTCTGAATATTCTTTATATACTTTAAAACTGACACAGTTTCATAATTACTATAGTGACTATACATGGACTGAAAGGAATGTTTCCTTGAAGCAAATTCTACAACATATTGAAGCAACTCCCAATGTCACTCACTATGCCTTAATTGGGATGAGGAAATGGTCCAGTAAAACAAACGGTGCTGAGATCAAGGAACCATTCTCCTGCTGCCATGTGCATGATTTCATTATGCTGAATGTCGATCTCACACAGAATGTGCAGTATAATCAGAACAGGTAAGTGAATCAGTAGCATCATTCAATAGAGATAAGAACCACATAAAGGAAGTTTTACAAAAGTTCTTGTTGATTTTTGGGGAGGTTGTTAATGGGATGCAGACAGATTTTCTTTTCTTACTGATGGTTCAAATCCTTCCCAAACTGCCAGCAGCTGGAAAAATACATTAATTTCTGTAGTTCCGAATAAAACGGTCATATTTGAATTACAGGGTAGGCACACTCAGCAGTGTGCCTTGCAGTGTTGGTCCTCCAGTTGTCTAGTCCTAGTGGCCTTTTGGTAAACACAGTACTTCCCCTCCTGCCTGCTTACCGGCACTGCCTTCCAAAGGAAACGGGGGTGTATGGGTGAATGGCGTATAAGCAAGTCTTGTTCTGACATGGAATTGAGATATAGCTGGGCTTTCTACACTGAGAGCACAACACTGGAGCACACTGCATGTGTGCTCATCAGGACAATCAGAAGAAAGGAATAAATAAACCTCGTTAACATTGCTGTTTTTTTCTCACATGGAGCTGTCTCGGAAATCCCATTTTTCCATTTATTGTGTCACACAGGATATATCAGATTATAATATTGCCATACACAGTATCACCACAGTTACCAGACCTGTATTCACTAGGTACATCATCTCACAGAATTTCACTCATGTATGTGAAATAAACTGTGGGTTTGGACTCATTTCTGAAGGACAAGCATTTATTACAACAGAATGAAGTAGATATCACTAGAGGTAGGATTCACTTGTCTAAAGCCAGCCTTTAGGCACCTCAGAATATGCAAGACGTCCATATGGGGCGGACAGGTACGACATGAATTCTACTTGTGTTTTTCTGTAAGCTAGGTGGGATATCCCAGGTAATATAAAGTGGCTCTACGCACCTAGACGTGATAACTGAATATTAGTCACTGTACTTCACAGAAGAACTCTCCTATCTCAGGAAGATGTCTTCTGAAGTCCAAGTTTACTTATAACTGCAAGGAAGCAGTTCGGCTTTCATGATCCTGTGGATAAACAGATGACCTAAATTTCTATCGTCATGAGCTTGGCACTTTAAAAGAATATTTTAAACTTGCTCCTATTCACCTCCTAGTACAGAACTGTGCTCCCAGCTGTCTAACTGTATTACCTTATGAAGCATTATGAAGGCCTAATGAAGTGAACAACAATAAAGCAAAATGATATGAGTACAGGCAGCAGGGTTACAATGCTACGGCACCACCCATTTCCTGCCTACGTCTTTAAACCATGCATGGCTCACCGTAAGCCTCTGTGTGGGCTCTCTTGAGCCTGAAGTATTGTATGACATTCCAAGCCTGGGCTGGCAAGGAAAAAGGTACATTTTGAAACACAGAGACACTGACAGTCAGGTATACCAAATATCCATGTAGATATCACTAAGATCAAAGGCAAGATTTTAAAAACCTATAATTAAATGCCATATTTCTCACTATGTCGACTGTTGCAGTAATTGCTCAGCTCTCTTAAATCCAAGCCCAGGATGTGAGTCTAACGGTTCTGCACATCATCCTGCTTGCTGTGTAATATTTAAATTCAAAATGGAGAACTGAGTCTGAATTTTCCAAAGGCCAAAGTATTTGAATTTGGTCAGCTTTAGAAGTTTACTTTTTATTCTGTTAGATCTTATTTTTAAAATGAGTCAAATTTAGCTCAGGGATGTTTGGCTTCATTGTGCTTAATTTATTCCTATGTCTCAGCAGTTTTGTTGTATTAAGAAAAGACTCCTTGTCTTTGATTAGTTTTTGTCTCTAATGTAAAATGACATTATTTCTGTACAGGAACATTGAAAAATGTACTGGATATTCATATTCTAAAGGAAAAATGAGAGTCAGAGATCTCTGCATTTGACAAATCAAATGTAGGGCCTCATCCATTTCCTTGGAAATCAAAAGAATTAATTTTCTTGACCTTATTTGGGGTAGTAACATGTATAGCTATTTTCAATGACTGCATTATTGTAGTAAAAGGCAAAGAAACTCTTCTAACTCCTAGGTCTTTTCTCTGGCAATTTACTACCTTTCTCCTTCCACTTCTGTTTCTGGTCCTTTCCCTCCCTGCATGGTTCCCTCCCTCTTGAACT